GCCTCGGCGGTCAGCGGCCTGGGGACCTACTTGTAAGGTGATGAGCATCTTGGTCGTCCCGTCGGACGAGACTTGTTTCATCGTCACAGAGGTAGAGCATCTCATGAAGGCTTCGTCAAGCAGACTGGCGGCCTTCTTAGAGATCCCAGACAGTCGCGATGGGTCGAAGTGGATGTCAGTCAATAAGGCCTTCTGTATGGTACCTGGCAGAAGTAGTCGGTGGAGTGGTATTCAAGGTGAACTTACTAGCATGCTGGCGAGAGGACCCGACTTCGACAAGGAAAGCTTCCAAAGCAGGAGTATCCAGTAGAGGCTTGCGAAGACTACAGAGGTCCCGACGGCGGCTCCTAGTGGCTTCAGGCATAGTCCTGGCCGCCCAATGTACGACGGCTTCAATTCTTGAAGTAATTTAGGGCGCGCGCTATTTCCATCAGCGCAGGTTTCGCCAACTCGGATTTCGCCAAGTAACTACCGCACAGATAGCGGTCAGAATATTACACTGGTTACACTAAGTTGCCGATTTCGACACTAGCTCCTGCGATACGGCATGCTTGAGCCGTTAGAGCGGTTAGAGGAGGGAGCTCTCAGAGATCATCACGAGAGATATGCGAAGCCGCTGACTCCAATATCTCCATTATGGGAAGATAAGACATCTCACCGACGTGTAGTAGTAGTACTAGTAGTAGTAGTAGTAGTAGTAGTAGTAGTAGTAGTAGTAGTAGAAGTACTAGTAGCACCACCGTGCTGCCTTACAAGGTGTCCAGCCTATACGGTTAATACAGTGTATGTCTTCAAGGGAGCAGCTAATGGTAGTCTCCTACAGTGGATCTGGTCTCGAGCTGGCCACTCTAGGGCCTAGAGCTTTCAAGTCTCAGTTTAGCCAGACATTAGTACATGCCCTAGGCTCGGGGGAAGGAGGAGGAGGGGAGAGGTTGCTGGAGGTGTAGGAGGAGCTGGGGGCGGCGGATTAGGATTATAAGAGATAAGTGACAACATGACAGGTGCAGGGATCGAACCTGGGGTCTCTGGCTTACGTAGTACTGATACTATTATCCTGATGCCTTCGACACATGCAGTGATGCAACTAATGTTGCGTAGTGGACTATTTAACACAGGAAGAAGTTGCGTTAGTCGTCATGGGATGGGAGGCATTCGAAAAGTTGGCACTACTGTCGTGATGATGTCACAAGTACCGGAAGACCGGCAGGGCAGGGCCAAGAGCCCCTCCTTGGCCCGGTTGGAGTCTATTGCTAAGAAGCACCCTGAGAACCCTCTGAAGTGGCTAGAGGAGCTGAGGCGAGTCACACCACTAGAGGGAGTGGGTAGGTCCTTGTAACAGGTCCTTGCAAAGAAGTGGCAAAGGCGTGGTACCAAAGTCTGCTGGAAATGACCGTAGTCTGACGAGCTTATTCACTCACGCCCAACGGAGAGTAGCGGCAGCCATTGCACATAGAGGCCGGTGGGACTACCCACGGGCGGATGTGAAGAAGTGATGGTCATGACAGGGCTACCCAGCAGAAGTCCAGCAGTGGGAGGAGCATGTCCTCCCGTCCCCTCACTGCTAGCATGCCTAATGTCAATACAGCATCCCCTAGTCTTCCCCGGGCAGTTGGCCTAGCTATGGTAGGTCCCACTCTCCTCTCGGTAGGCTTATGCATCGGACCAATCAGACTGGCCCGGCCTCCTCCCGAGCGGTGGTGGAAGAGTCGCGAGCAGCTGAACTATGCCAGCTGCCGCCTCTCCCCACTGCCCTGCCCAAAGTCCTACCGTCAAGCGTGAGTCGTGGTGAGGGTAGAGTGCCTGCCCTAGACCTGGCCAAGGCTGGGCCTATCTCCACGCTGCCTCTGGCTAACAGTGCGTGTCACTCGAATAGGGTTCTCCCTACTGGAGGGACGCTGACCAGGTCGGGGAGTAGGGGGGGTCGGGATGAGAAGGAATAGTGGTCAGGTCCTCGAGACGACTGCACCTTCGGAAGTCTTGCCGAACATCTGCTGGCCAGCCGACGTGCTCCTCTACTGCGACGCGAGATCGGTCCACTAGAGCGAACACCCCCTCTTCCCAGCGGGCCTCGTTGAGCATTCACGGTGGGCTGCCGGCTGGGGCTGGTTATATTCCATACCACTCCTTTTAGGAATCATCGGTGAAGAAGGCCTGCCCTCGGCACTATTGCCCAGCACTACAAGCAGGGACCCGAGGAGAGAGTTGAAGGAGGAGGCACAAGTAAGCCATGTCGGCTTTCCGATACCACTCCTTTGTCTCATCAGCTCGTCGGGGAGCTGGCCTTCCTCGGGGACCTCAGCTGCCTCGCTAAGCTCCATCACCAGAGGGAATTGTTCACTCAAGTCGACAGAGAACTGTACCGGATGGATGAGCCCTCCTTTACCCCACAAGGGGAGTCCTTGGCCTCCCCAAGGCAGCGTCGCCTTGGCCCCTGTGAGGTCCGCCGGCCCAGCGAGTGGGGGGAGGTACGACGGCTACTACTGACAATGCTGGGGAAAGTCTCTGTGGACAAGCTGCCGATCCCGCTACTGTGGGACATGCTGGTCCCTGGTCTTGAGGCCCTCCCCATCCCTCTCCTCATGGCAACAGACTGCGACACCAGCAGCGTTGTAGTCGAGATGGAAATGGAGGAGTGCCCGTGTATGCAGCGGGCCGAGCCATGCCTTTGTCTGAGCCCAGGGGAGTGGCGGGAAGCCTGGAGGGGACTCAGACGCCATCGATCGCGGGCCCGAGAGCAGCTGTCACAGTGAGTGTCACCTCTACTGTGGTGTCATAGCTCCACTATCCTCAGATCGAGTATTGGTAACCCTTTCGCCGACCCCCTGTTGAGGTCGGTGTGCTCTGGCATCAGTGAGAGGCTACATAGAATGGAGAAGCAGGCCGGTGGGGAGGGGGAGGCTGGCCTGATGGTCATGCCAGAGGGAGTGGAGGAGCAGTTGGTCCTCCTGGGTAGTAGGCGTTGGCCCTCTGTCACTCAATGTGGCCATCTCTAGTGGTAGGTGAGTACGTCCGAAGAGCTGTGTTCCCTGGTGTATGTGCCGCCCAGGCCCTGGCAGCTGTCCTGCCTACACTGGTCAGGTCGATAGAGGTGGCTCCTTACAATGAATCATCCCTTCCTTAGGTAGAGGTCAAGGAGCTCCTCAAGGCCTTCCACGTTGAGGTGAGGAGGCAGAATGAGGTCCAAGCAGTGGCGGAGCGTAGGAGGGACTTCTGATGCCGCGCCCCTGTGGACCGCCTCTTCAGTTCGGGCGGGGTCGATGGACAGCCTGAGCCCTATGCAGTCGATGAGGACCCCTCGCCCTGCCGACCTCTACCGCTGGAGGCGCCTTGTGATAGCCCTCTCGTGGATCGCCTCTGCCCTACTAGAGTGCTCTGATGATGCTATCATGGCTGAGGGCATCCTAACGACCCTACTAGGTGGGTCTGGTGTCCACTGGTCTTGCCAGGCCCATAATCCTGTCCTCAGACCTCCCAGTCGTTGCCTCCCAGCCGGTCACTGGGACCACCCCGACAGAGTCGGCCACTCCCTTCTATGCCCTCCTGATCCCGGTCATAGCGGCTGCCTTCTTCCCCGAAACAGTGGAGGATTCCGGTATGTGGGTCCATCCCGAGATAGAGGACAGGAGGTTAGCCCTGGACCGGCTAAGGCTGCTCAAGGTCGTCTCGGCACTAATTAACATCATCCGGAGGGCCCTAGGGTCTACCCAGGATACCCCACCAGCGACGGTGTAAGGCATCCCCGCGTCACTATCACCAGGGCCTGCCCATCAGGTACGTACCGATGGCTGGGCGTCTATCCTCAGCCTGGGCAGCCATCACCGAGCATGTTGCCCCAGTGGTCATGGGCTCCTGGACTGCCTCCCTCTTCGCCCATGGGACCGGCATCATTCCTAGGTGGGCCCCTCTAGAGAGGGGTTGGTCATCCTAGTGTCGCACTCAGGTTCTTGGTCTCCCGTAGCTCCTCATGTCAGCTGGAGGGCTCGGCCGTGGAGGTGCTGTTAGAGTTAAGGCTGGCAGAAGCCGAGGCCGCCCTCTTCTCGATACCTGCGGACCTCAATGGCTTCCTCTTGGACCCTCATGTTGGGTGGTAGGAGACAGACTGGGGTTACATACTCGTGGCCATCCCAATCCTCTTCTCTTGCTGTTTTAAATACTCTATCTCGAGGCATAGCCCATGCACTTCCTCCTTCGGCAGGTACATCCACCACCACTACTCGCGCTTCATTCGACTGTATAGAAGACGGTCCAGCGGTGATGGGTCTGCCCCTTCGGGCGAGTCTCCGTCCAGCTCCTCCTCCTCCTCATCCTCTTTTTCTCATGCCTCTAGCCACCAACAGGGCGAGGGGAGCTCGGCAGCAGTGGGAGCTGTTGAGGACTCCCTGGCTGTGGCCCATCTGGGGGTCCTGGCGTCCGTCGCTCGAGGTCGTAGTGCAGCTGCGAGGTGGGTCTAAAGGGGAGGAGTGTTGGGACTGAGGGGATGCCTTGTAGGAAGAAGTTCTACTCGCTGAGGGTGGTGGAATTCCTCTGTGGGGAGATAGATTTGGAGCACGCAGTTTGCCATATGGAAGGACGGTAGGATGAGGCGAAGATGTGGTATGTACTATTACCCGAGTAGGTATCTGCAGTTCGGCACTCAGGAGGGTCGACCTACTAGCGGCGAGGAGGTGACCATCTGCCGTGAGACCGTTTGAGAGGTTGTTTCAGGACATGGTCTCGACTGGCGGCTCATGGGTAGATGGAGACCATCATGGTGAGGAAGGGGGAGGAGAGTCCTCGGAGGTGGGCCGCGCCCCAGTGGGAGCTCCCACCATGGGTGTTTGCTGTAGTATTATTCTTCCGATGAGGGCCGAACTCCAGCAGTGCCACAGGTAGCAGCAGCAGCCCTTCACACAGTAGCCGTTGGTTGTTCCGCTTGATACTCGGTTTGATCGCTCTGTAGGCATCTCGCAAGGTCGTAGTCCCTGGCCTGTCCTTGACTGGTCTAGGCCCCTCCACACAAGGGTGTGCGGCCCTTCTAGGCTCCATGCCCGCAGAGGAAGTAGGGGGAGGGGGAGGGGCATTCTGGGCTGCAGTGTCATCACTATCAGGCTACCAGAGACCCTGTCAGCAAAGCACATATCGATGGTGATGGGCCTTTGCCTCCTCCAGTGGCTCTACCGCCAGTCACTGTTAGTAACAAGGAGCTCAGGAAGAGTTGTAGGAAGCCCCTGCGGTAATGAGGTTGAGGTGCTCTCGTTGGTTTAGTGTCGGCTGAACCCCTGCCTCCCCCAGTGTCCTACCCCGAGTGCCAGGATGTGGCCCATGAGAGGAGTACTAAATTGTCGAGCGTGGTCGCTGCTAGTTGCCCTCCCTGCTAGGCCTCATGGATGATACCTCCTCCTCTTCCTCGACGCCCCCCAGCAGTCGGGCTCCTCAGTTCGCCCCCACGGCTCCGTCGCCGCCCATAGTGCCAAGACTAGCCTTCCAGGGTCGGCAATCCCCTCCCTTCACCATCAGCGTGTACACTCCTCTTAAGGTCTGCCGCCTTCTGTCCAAGGGCCCGGTGGCCTCGGCATCGACCCGACCCCACCTGAATACGCTCTAGGAGGCCCTGATACCCCTGTGGAGCCGCCTGGGGAGGTGATCATCTGGCGGGTCCGCATCGATAGTACTGAGGGTCAGATACCGGTCTCCAGCATGGTTGATGGCCCCTATGAGGATGGACCATCCAGTAGGCCTCGTGGTGATGGTGACTGTCGTTGGATCATATGATGGGGTTAGGTAGGCTGTCACCAGAGCTGTTCTACGACTGTGGTCGGAGGTGTAGGAGGCTCTACCGCTCGGAGGAACTACAAGAGGGTGGGTCGGGGAGGCCTTGCTGGACTTCATATCTATAGCTTTCGAACAAGTGCTCTACGTATACTCGGCCACTCGAAGGAACGCGTCATGGGAAATTATGAAGGAAAATATTATCGGAATCTTCGCGTCGCCCTATGGCCGCTTACTCAGGCATACTAAGGCTACTGCTGCTGCTACTGTTGTCGGCGACAAGGGGCACTCTGGACTGCCGCTACTGTGACCAGTTCCCAGCGCTGAATCGCAAAGTCAATGTCCTGTTCATCCTGGGGGTCCACCTTAGTCATCCAGCCAACTTTGGGGTGAGGGTATCTCTGTCGGGCGGCCCTGGGGCACCGTCATCAGGCCTTGCGCCGACTGCAACACCACGAGGGTATGCACTCACTACGGCACAGCCCTTGTCCCCACGGTGGGATCTTCCGCCTTCTGAAACTGTTGGCTCCTGGAAATTTCCCTCAATGGATCTACGCTGGTAGCCGTCTTACGTCCTCCTCCCGGGCATTCCCGAGGTAGATATGAAAGTCGTCGGTGGTGGGGCCTTCGGGACGGTCTTCCGCTGCGAGACGGTCCTCCAGCGTGAGGCCGCCGCTGCTGCCGCCGATTATGATGATGATGACGACACTGAAGTGGTCGCAGTGAAATTGGTTAACCGCAACCCGAACATTAGAGATAGGTGAGTAGACGGGAGTCGAAGGTAGCAGGAGAGCCCAGGGTTTAGGTGTGTGCTCTACGATGTCTACAATGAGGTGACGTGCCTGGAGGAGGGGCGTTTCGATGACTACATGACGGAGATCTACGACTACGGTCCTCAGGAGTTGTGAGGGTACTAGAGGTGAATGGCTTTTCAGGTTTCGATGGTTCCTCTTACTGGATCGTCATGCGATTCTACACCATGACGTTGACGAAGTGGCGGGCGCGCTTGGGCCAGCCCTTGGAGGACCATCTTTTGGACCTCTTGGAAGTAGGCGGTGTCACCACGGTGGTGTCACCACGGCGGTGTCACCATCCGTATCAGACCTATCGTAAAATCCTCACTGCAGTCGGCAAGCTCCATAGGGACGGCTTGGTCCACTACGACCTCAAATGTGACAACATTATGGTACTCCGTTAGCCCCCTACCCTCATTCGACAGGCCCCTCAGGTCCTCGACCACGGTTCTGCTCGTGCCAGCGACATTTCTGTAGTGCTGGCTGACTTCGGGGAGAGTCGGGTACTCGAGGGACCACAAAACGCCGATGTAGGTGGCGGCTTCTCTTGGTTCTGCTTGCCCCCCGAGGGAGGCCCTCATCATCAGCTATGTGTCCGCAACCGTGGGACGGAGTTTGTAAAGCCGCCCGAGATGCTCACCATCGAGCGGGCCCTTCGTCGAGATGAGTAAACCCATGCATCACTATCTCCCTAGTTCACGTCGTTTCCCCACTTCAGCGCGGCCTTCGATCGGCGTAAAAGTGTTGGTACCACTACGGCCAGCGACGTTTGGAGTGTTGGCTGCATGCTGTACGAACTCATCACCGGTAGGTTAGGGATTGCCACTGGCGGTGGGCCCTAGGGCCAGTGTCTAGGACAGTACCTCTTCTACAATGACGATTGGATCCGTTTCTATATGCGTCTCACTGGTGGTCCGGAGCGGGCTGCTCGCTATGGCTCGCCAGCCGTAGCGGCCCCGATTGATATTCTCACTGACGATAATATACAAATGCTCGACAACAACGCCTGCCTCTGCGACTTCCTAAGGTAGAGCAGTCCCTCTCCTGCCTGGCTCGTGGTTGTGGCCCTAGGTTTATGCTGGTTCGAGATCCCCAGTGCCGGCCGACCATCCCGGCTGTCCTCCATCGCTTCCATAGGGTCAATGCAGCTGTCCAGCTGGAATGTGGCGTACGTCCTCACACGTGGCGGAGTAGACGTTCAGAAAAGACACCTCGAGTGAATGGGCCGCGGGCCCTCCCCATCTCAGGGGAGACCAACGTAAGGGTCCCCTTCCTTTTCTACTGCCTATGGTCTTCTTCTAGGGTGTCCTGGAGATGAGCGTGCTCAGCAGCGCCCGTCGGTCCCCTGCTACTTCTCGCCAGTCTTCGCCTCCTGGGACGACCAGGTCCATCAGACTACCGTACCTTGAGGACGATATAGTGGCGGTCGCTGCTGAGGTCCAGCCGAGGCTCTCTCGGGTGTTGGAGGATACATTGTTGCTGACGGTGCCGTTGCAGTCGAGCTTGGTACCGGAGTGGTTGGTACGGCAGGCTGTCCCAACACATGTCATCGATCTGCGCCCGGCTGATGAGCCCAACCTCTCGGGCTTCCCAGCGACGGTTACTTGCGTGAGGGCCTCCTGGGGTACGGAGGGGCCGAGACGTTCTACTAGGGCCTTTCTGAACGCCATACCACTCCTCTTTGACTTTGCACGCTCAGCTGCCGCCTCTCGAGGACGCCTTCTACTAGTGGACACAGGCCACGTTGCGATGGCCTTCGTAGCATTGATAGTATCCGAGGGTCACCAGCTTGGCATCTATCGGGCCCTTTGCCTCCTTCTATCTCGGCATCTGTCCCCCCTTGACCAGCCCTATCCGCGGCTCATCGCAGCTGCATCTAAGTGGCAACAGAGCAGGATACAGAACTGGTCCCGAACTGAGGCCCTGCTGGGCAACGGGTCCATGGCTGGTAGCTGCCTATGTGGGGTGTGCTCATGGATGCTCAGGGGCTCCGCTGTGAGGTCCATAGTACCATTCAGAGGCATAATTCACGACGACGTCCCTACGATAGTCACTTGCCGTTGTTCCCCTAATGAGCCGGTCAGGGCGTGCGCTAACCTCTACAGCTGCGCTGCCTACTGTCAGTATCTGAGGTCCATGGACGGTGGTGATAGAGACCCTAGGGACGCTGCCGTCTGGCTCTGGTTGCCGGCTATACTCAATAAGGATGGCGAGGTGAACCACTGTCCATTCTTCCGGAGGACCAGGGGGGCGGAGGTATCGAGAGGTCTTGATGGTAGCGCGGTAGCAGCCCGGAAGAAGGGAGGGGCCACGCCCTGTCAGTCTGGGAGGAGTAATGGTCCAATAATGATGTCAAGGATGTACAGGTAGGGCTGCTTTCCCCTGCTTATACTCCTATTCAGTGATCGCTAGGTGCGTCTATTGTCGAGTATTGTCCCACGCGGTAGTATCCGTGAACAGCGGTACGAGTGGTAGTAGCAGCAGCAGTAGCGTACGCGGCATTAGAGAGAGGGGATGGGTGGTCCTCAACCTTACCAATGACGCCCATCGTTTGCGTGGACTGCAGGACGTGCCGCTCCGGAGGCGGCTGGGCGCCCGACCACCGTAGGTTCATGTGCTACTCTATGGCAGATTTCATGATAGGGATTTCGATCCCGAACATAATTTTTCGGAGGATCGAGTCTTCTCTAATTTGGCACCGTCCTTGCGTGGTGGTAGTCTTACTGGCAGTGCCTCTCTAGCGACGCCAGGTATGAAGTATAACCACTAATTGGGGGTGATCTGCAATCTTGGGTAGATTCGAGAAGGAGTGGTATCGAGGCGCTGAAGGGCACCCGACCAGTTGCTGAGCCTCCTACTGCGGTTCCACTTGAAGGAGAGGAGTACTACTACCCTTCAAGTAGGTGGTATCATTCCACTCAGTCGGGGAGTCGGTATCCAGAGGCACAATAGTGTTATCGTGTCTCCACTACTCTGCACTCACTCGCTGCTATCATAGATACCTTGGGCTGGGATTTGAGGCGGCAGTCTTTGGCAGAGCTGCTCCTCCCACCATCACCCTGCCCTGAACTCGCCAGACTTCTCCGTGCAATTCTACCCAACTTGACCATCTCCTCCTCGGGTCGCTAGAGGCAGGCCATCGTGAATAATACTTGTCTGACATGTATATTAATCCGCATCATATTGAGACTCCTCTGCTTTGTGTTGGAAGTATACATAGTAAGTGAACACTCGAAACACATACAAGGCTTGCATACTGTTCGAGTGATGTTCATCCTGACATAAACATAGACTGAAATCTGTAGGCAAGCCGGCTATTGTTCTTGGTGATAGCAGGACAGTACTAAGCACTGAATGTACAGCTAGAGTCTGCCTGGTATACATCCGTCAGGCTACTAGACGAATGAATATCGCTGTAACGTTAAGGAGAGCACAACTTTGTGTGTGTTGAGCAGCAGATAAGCGCATCGTAGGGAGAGAGCCACTTGAACTTAGGCGATCTATAGATATGATTAAACCGCAGAGAGTGGATGTGAACACCCAAAGTCGCTCACCTCCTGTCGCTACCGGTAATGACAGGTTGTTCACGATAGCCCGAAGTAATATGCTAGTTAATAAGCACGCAGTCTTCATAGATCGATAGACAGAAGCATTTGTTCATCTCAATTTATGCTGCAATATGCACTTGGTGGATCTCACTCTAGGTCGATTAGCAGAAGTCTCGCCTACTCGTGTAGGTGCTCCCCGTGACGCTTTCCTCTATCTCTACCATCACTATTACGCAACACACGAAGCCTATCGAGGCACTAACGAAACCAGCAATCAAGGAAACTCCGCCGACCAACCACTTCAGAAGGCGGCAGCGAACATATTCAACCTCTCGTTACGCAGCTTCACGCGTAACACTTCCAGCTGCTCGTTCATATGGGTCGTATACTCCTGAAATCCGACAAGTAGACAGGAACATCCACCTCCAACCATCTACCTTTGCTCGTAGATCAGCGCAAGCGTCGACAGGCACCGACTGGACAGCGGCTTCGCTGAGCATCTAATACACGGTAATATGAAAACCAGATCTACATGGCCATGATTCCTACCGGGAACCCGACCTTGTTGTTTATTTTAGTGTAGAGCTCCTCCAAACGAGCCATGTCCGTCGCATCAAGTATTGACCAATCGTATCTGGTGTCACCATAGCGGTCCTCTTCAGTGTCACCATACAAGCCACTACCCTCCCTTTCCTTTAGCCTTCTTAGCAAGACTTCTCACTTCATCAGCCTCAGCCTTGGTCACCATATACTGCCTCTCGAAATCCCTCTCACCTAAACAACAGCTCTTCTTGGCTCCACCCAATACCACTCCTTTCCTACTTCTCCTCTTATCAAACGCCAATCGCTGTATCAGAGTGCCCTTAGCATCAGCCTGAGACCAACAACCGTACGAAAAGCAGGGAGAGGAGAGCAGTACGTACAGTAGCCTTGGAGACATCCTGAGTTTTCAAATCCTTGAAGGAGTTCACAAAGTGATTCTTGACCGGATCCTTAGACCTAAAACAACGCAATTCGAACACTTTTACACACTCCCCCTTTCTACGCATCGACGGTGTCACCAGCCAACTGAGCGATGGCTGTGTTGAGGCTCTCTTGCTGCATCTTGGGATCAGTCGGGAACATATCACGGAAAGATGATGCCGTCTCCCGAACGAGAATTTCTGATGAGGACCAGCAGATCCCAGCGACCGAGGCTGCCCTCTCCCTACTCACCCTGCATAGAAGCGGCTATGTTATGCTCAGATCTCTCGATGTTCTGAAGCTGATGCAGCACACGATCAGTGACCTGACGAAAAATTGCGGTCGCGATGGTAGCATAAAACTCACATCGTGCTTTTGCTTCTGGATCAACGCGTGACGATACTGTGCCAATCTGTCGGTAGACTCTCTCTTAAAAGCCTTCAGGTAATTAACACACCTAACCGATCCGTCCCGAGGAGAGCAGGATGACTTTCCCCCCACATGGAATCGTTGGTGAAGCGGGACATGTTCTTCAGGATCTTATCCTCTCCTTCCATCACTCCAGCCGCAGTCTTCTGTTCAGCCATGAACTCGTTGCTGGAAATGCGGAAAAATTCCAAAGGCGAGGACTATGATGAGGAGCTCCTACCGTCTCCAAACACGGTTGGCCATCCTCGAGAAGAGGTACCAACAGCTGACGAACCACAGAGAGAACCCGTAGGTCTTCATGTAGAAGAGGTAGTTGTAGAATGGGAAGTTCTTGAAGATGTACCTACGGCACGTTGGATGGCCTTTTAAGGCTGTCTGGTCTTACCATCCTCCAGCGAAGATCAACCAGTGGTCTCTGAGGAAGCCCTTCCGCTTAACCTGAATGAATTGAATAAGGTGTGGTATGGAATTAATTCCAACCTTGTCGTAGTCAAGTTCGCCAATATGGCTTTTCTCCATGCGACTACGAAGGCAAAACTTGTAGGTGTCCTCCTCAGGGACGTCGAAGAGGACAGAGAGCTCAGGGTAGTGGAAGCGGTAGTCCGAGGGGAAGGTCGCTTGTATGGCGTTCCGTTCTGATATCAGGGTATTATATCATACCACTCCATCCGCAACTCTACTACCTTTCTCGGTGTACCCATTCTTCCACATGAGGGCCAACAGCTCATCAGTAGTGAGAAAAATGTCGTTCTCTACCGTAAGGCCGTCCTTGCATCTGATGGTGAGGGGATGCGACCTCACACGAGTTCACGTTCAACTACCTCTGGTAGAACTCCCGGAAGGCTTCCTTACGGCCTTCCTGGTCCGTGACCAATTTGAGATACCTGCGGCCATAGTAGAGCATACCACACCTTCGCCAAGTACCTTATGAATAGAGGGACATCCTTCGTGAACTTGGCCAGCTGGTCTCTCTCGGGCATGTACAGCAGCAGGTCGTCCCAAGTCGTGTTTTCATTGTAGGGTCGGGTGATCTTATACCTAATCCGTCGAAGCGGTAGGAAGGGACGGGCGTGTGGGGAGTCTACTTAGTAACGAAAACGCCGCCAGGGCCGGAGAGCTGCGGTATGGTGATACCAAAGCCCATGCCGTTGGTAAAGGAGGACGAATGACGCACCTGATAGGAAATGCGGAAGGAGTGGTATGAATACGAGGAATCACCTGACAAGCCGCCGTTCTGCCAAAAGCGGAATAAGCCGCAACGGGCCGGACATATGCAGCCTTAGAGAGCATCCTCGACAACGGGTAAGGTAGAAAAAAGACAACAGGGGCAACCACTGTGATGTACCAACGAGATGAACCAGACTTCAGCGTTGAGGAAATGCAAGAGAGCAAGATCTGTGAGTAATGCTGCACCGTTGATGGAACTGAAATCGCATTCTGTCATCAGCTAATGCTCTCCTCGGTTGTTCATAAGGGAGGTAAGAGGCTCCTTCCCAACACGGTGGCCGCCTCTAGAGGGCTCTTCGCTGCTTCTGGTGAGCATTCCTTGTCGAGAGCATTGAGTTGAAGGTTTGCCTGTCAGCGCCTCGCTTCACATGGACTGAGATTTGGTGGGAGCATGACCCGACCCCCAAGGTGGCCCAGTATAGACCTTATGTATGCACTGTGGAGTCTGGCAAGGTAACGCGTATCTTGAGGTTCGAACATGTATGATACGGAATAGGTCTATTGGTGGTGCGCCTGTGGTGAGTCCAAGACACAGCCATGGGTTGATGGTCATTGTAAATGCTCAAAGAGGGAAGGGGTAGGTCCTCCCTCATCTACATATGGTATTCATTGCTCTTTAGGGTTTCCGTCCCCGTCGTTGGGAGCCCGAGCACGATGGTGTTCGCCTTTTCTGCGGCTGCAAGTCCTGCTTCAGCTCCCCCACTTGGAACGGTGGTTGCTTCACCAAGTAGGGCCCTTCCCTTACAACCCTCGGGACCTATCCTTGCTCTCTTTCAGATGGATGCAGTCGAACCCCGCTGGTGGTATGCTCTACTGCTTCGCGGCTGCCTTTGGTTTCGGCACGCTGACGTCGTATTGGTTCCACCCCTAGGCCCTCCGGGGACCATCCTATGTCGTACATCTGTTGCTTGCAAGCATCAGTTCTATTATTGTTACCTCTCATGGAGGCTTTTTGATCCGTATGGGTTTGAGTTTGAGAGTATCTGATCGCCGTAAGGACGGCGCTTGTTGGTTTTCGTGATGGGACCAGGCGTTGTGGTAGCGTTACTAGCAGCAGTCGTGTGCAACGTGTCTGCAGCGAAGATGAATATCACGATATCAATTGATCCGAGAACTAACGTGAAGTGCCTGGGGGAGGAGTTCTCTGCTGGGCAGCTGTTGGTAACACTGAGGGAATCACATAGTTTCGCTTAAGGGCCGACTTCAATTTTTGCCTACTACTGCTACTATCTGTAGAGCGTACACCGTAGTTGAGCCGTAATAGAGTTCTTCAGGTAGTTGATAGTAGGGTACTTCCTGATGACGACGACAAAGCAGCCTCGTCAGCTCTAATAGACCTAGTAGGCATTGGAAAGCATGTAATGGCTGCTTTTATGAAATCCAGGTCGTTCGCCCTGGCGCCGAATACGATACTCCAGAGTCTGGCATTCCTCTAGGGCTGTACGAAACTGGAGTGAGTTCCCTCTACCTCACCGTGGACCATCCCATATGGTACAGATTGACGGTGTGTTGGCAGTCGAGCACGACCGGAAGACCATCAAAGTGGCGACGACCATCGAACAGGTGTGTCTTTAGGTCAACCCGATAATACCTTTGTGGAGCAGGATGGGCCCCACTGGATCTGTATTGGTCTGTCGAGGAATGGCCGATGGACTCCTACTGAGGTCTCGCTAGCTCTGAGGTGGGTACTCATCATGTATACGGCGATGGTGGTCTCTCTCTCGAGGTACGGTGGTGATGCTGCTGACTTTACTCAGCTGGCTAGAAGAGATCATTTAGATGATACTCAAGTAAGGCAGTAGTAGTAGTACTCTGATAAGCCTCCGTTTGAGTGAATAGAGTCTACTTGGACTGATGGACGAGTAACAGAGGTTCAGGCGAGGGTGCCTTGTGGCCGGTGATGGCGGTATATATATGCTGGCTCCCCTCATATACGAGCTAGGATAGAAGTAGACAGAAACCAACCATAATTCGCCCCAAAACTTCCTAGGAATTTGCATATCATCACCGACACATGTAGTTGAGCATGTGCGTATTTTCCCACGCTGCTTGTGGTAGCTGATTTGACAACGATCGTCCTGTCATCCCTGAAGACTTCGTGTTAGGTACAACTGTACCGCGTACAGGTTATCTTGAGAGAGTACCATAAGACGTTATTCTATATGAGGGAGAGGGATGAACGGATGCGGCAAACCACAGAGAGTTGGTGCCCCCAAAGCCTCCACAGTTCGGCTCCTTGTGCCCCTCAGGCACGTCATCGAGGTTGGTGGCATTCTGCTTGCTGAATGCTGGTGTCGTTATCACTGTGGCGGGACTGCAAATACTCTATTACAGGCGCTATTTCACTCGTAAGAAGATGATCTGATAAACGCATGGTCCTCATGTACTCCAGTTTTCAATAATGAGCTGTTGAGTTCAGCGCTGGTCAGATCCCTGTAGTTAATTTCCTGTTATATTTACCCCTATGCTTTCTTCTTTTTACCTGGCTCCCCGCGCCGTAGTTCCTCTACTGAGTGCTCCTTCTCTAGCTCAGCGAGCGCTCACGTTTACGGCGAGAGGCGGCTTCGTCCAACAAAAGTCTAACGGCCTCTTGGGTGCCGTTCATCGCAATTTCGCATCGACAACAAAGGGCTGTTCGAAACACTGCTGTAAACTACACTGTCCTAAATGCGACTTTGTTATGAATTCATTCTGCCCCTTCTGTCCATCTTGTGACTCCTTCCAACCGGAAAAGCCTCGTGAATGCCCTACTGATTACTTCTGCCTGCTTGACCAGCCCCACAAGTACAGTATCGACACCAAGGGTGCTGAGAAGTGCTACAGGCGACTTCAGAACAGGCTGCATCCAGATAAGGTTGCTCATGTTGACGGCGCCGACGCTGAAGTTGCTGCTGCCGATTCCGCGATGGTAAATGATGCCATCAAAACGCTGAGGTCTCCCTTGAAGAGAGCGGAGCATCTCCTCCAACTGGAGACCGGTGTGAAGGCGGACAACGACGAGGCAGATGGGATGGGAAATATGGACCCTAGTGTGCTGATGGAAATGTTGGAGTACAATGAAGAGATTGATGATGCCGAGGGGGACGAGGAGGAGCTCCTCAAGCTCACTCAGGAGAACGATGAGAGGATCAAAGAGTGCGAGGATGAGCTCACGAGGCTCTGTGATGAGGCCCACGACTGGGAGGCGGTCGAGACTGAAGTCAATCGCTTGAGGTTTCTCGTCCGCATCGACGATAGGTTGAAAGGCACTGTGAACAAAATGTAGTGACCTTCTATATACTACTGCATACTATATACATCGGTTTCTACTTGGAACTCAATCGAGGCATTTGTGTTGTCAAGTGACAGATGCGACATAGAACAACTCTCATACACAACGTTCATAGAGACACATTATCCAACGCCCTCTATATTCCCGCTGACTTCGACAGCGGAATTCCATGCGTCCAGCCGTTAATAGGAGGGCCATGAGCGCTACCACGACCCTCATCAGCTAGCAATAATTGCACTGACCCACTCGTTATTATAATGGAATTCACACGAAAGTCATTCCTGTCGAGTTCCTTACCATACTTCTTAGAGTTTTGACCATGTGCTTTTTGCCTTGCAACCGACTTCAATAACATCAACACTTGAATGCCTCAGAAACAGCATGAACACGGAAAGGACAAATAAATGCAACCTGGAGATTCATGGAGATCTTAAATGAATTTTTCCGCGATGAAATTGGGTTGAGGCTTATCCCGCATCTTCGCGTAAAAGTCTCCGCCTTTTTTCTTCATCTGTCTGTATTGCTCATATGGTAGTGATGGATCCTTACCACCACTCTTCCTATCGATGTGATCCCAATACCTGACCATACGAGATCTCGATAGCCCTACTATTCGAAACCTACCGCTCTCGAGCTTCATGCAACGGAGTGGCGTCCAAGGTCGTAAGGCCGTCTTTGGCCAGCAACAGCTCATGTTGGCGAATCTCGAGTTCATCCAGTTTCTTCCGTCTGCTGACCTTATCGAACATCTGATAGGAGCACACAGATATCTCAATGGCAACTCTCAGGGCGACCCCACCTGTTGCCGATTCTTGGCGACGAGCTTGCCTATCATATGATGCAACTGCACGACCTTACGGCCCACCTTCGCCAGCCGGCCAGCTTGGTAGGGCAATGGCATCACCCCACGACTGTACCTGACGAACACCTGTGCGCCTCCCATATACCAAGTCGGGCGAACATGTCATCCAAGACAGCCAGAGTGGCTCGACTGCTCTTCGAGTTCATCGCCACATCCAATGCTAGTCGTAGCATCTCCTCACTCATCTGTGACGGACACCTGTCCGGATCGTCGGGGACCACCAAAGCATTGTTCTGACCAGAGATAAGCAGTAGTAGCCTCCACTAGAACCCATTAGCCAATCGCAAGCGTTGACCCCAGATGCCAACACGTGACACCTCCCACCTCGATCGTCTCCACGCCAACCAGCGAGTTATCCGCTGCTCCCATCATCTCCTTCTTCTTCTCAATTTCCCTAACCTCAATCGCCTTAAAGTGTTCCTTCATTTGAGTGTACAACGCCATAAACCTAGCGTTATCTCCCATACCCTTCCCGAGCATCCTCAGCAACGTCTCATATCTAACCCAACACCAACCAACGTCACCATCATTCGCCCTCTGGTGAGGTCCTCACGTTCGGACGGTCGGAGCCACCCCAAAGGAAGCGTATTGTTGCACCATGTCAATAGCATGACTCGCGAAACCACCAGCAGCATATACCTAAC